CCCCCCAGCCCAGAGCCTCTTGCCTGCCACAATCAGCTGTTCCACAGCATGCAGGAGGCACTGGGAGGAGGGGGCGGAGCAGGGGCAGGAAGAGGCAAGGGGAGGAGGCGGAAAGAGGTGGGGTGGGGCTGGAAAGAGGCAGGGTGGTGGCTTGGGGGAGGGGGAAGGGAAAGTGGAAGGGGTGTGGGCAGGGCCTGGGGCAGAGTGGGGGCGGGGAGAGGCAGGGCGGGGGTGGGGATTGGGGGAGGGTGTGGGGGTGGAGTGGGGGCGGGGCCTGGGGCAGAGCGGGGGTCGAGCACCCCCCGGGATCTGAGTAAATTGGCGCTATGTACACATTTATACATAAAGTTAGCATAAATCAATATAAAACTCTTCTTCTATTAAACAGTTATTCTTTAAAAAGCGCAGTTATATGTATTTTACATGAAACTTGTACTGCCAATTAAAAACATGGATTTTCTGATGATATCCCTGAAAGAAAATATTGAGATTCAGAAAATTAAGATTAAAAAAATCCATGAGTCAGAGTGAATATTGTTGTGATGAAATATGCATTATTTATACTTGATGAGAATAATATGCATGTGTGTATTATGTGGGCAGTGTAAGAATTATGATATCTTTATTCATTTTCTTGTTTTTAAGTGCTTAAGTTTCATAAATAATTTAGTAGGTAATTACGGTGTTGTCACTTAGGAACTTAAATGGTGTTTGTTTATTTATTTATTTATTTTTAAGTTTTGGTAATTATTTTCCTGCATCATTTCTACCCCTTCTTGTCAACTGTTGAGAATAGCCCACTTCCACCTTAATTGAATTGGCTTGTTAGCACAGACCCCCCACTTGGTAAGGCAACTCCCATCTTTTCATATGCTGTGTATTTATACCTTTCTACTGTATTTTCCACTCCGTGCATCTGGGTTTTAGCCCATGAAAGCTTATGCCCAAATAAATTTGTTAGTCTCCAAGGTGCCACAAGGGCTCCTCGTTGTTTTTGCTAGTACAGACTAACACAGCTACCACTCTGAAACCTTTCTGCTCATGTTGCTCAATGCCTACAGGTATTTGTCCAAGCAAGGCTAATTTTTTTCCATCACTCTTCTCCTGCAACCCCATTTAGTTAAGGAAGAACTTGGCTCATATTAAATAGGAAAAGTTCTCCTGCAATAGATGTTTTGGTCCAAATTATTTTCTTTATTCCAGATTTACATGTGTTGTATTCACACAATTGCCATTGACTTCACAGGACTTATTATAGAGGGAATGGGTAGCCACCTCTATATTTAGGTTTTCAGGATTTGCACTGGTGCAGTTGAGAAAAGAATATGAGCCTTTGTGTTAAGCCTTTTCAACATATCAGTGTTATCTACACAGAGATGACAATTTATGTTTAGATGCTGCCATTGTAATAAAAATGCCGCAAATTAATCATGGAGTAGAAAAGAGAATGCCAAAGATATGGCTTATCAGAAATTGAGTGTTTGTTAACTAGTTGGACAGGTCTGTTTAATAATAGTATGCACTTACAAAGAGCTTTTATTCTTTGAGATAGTAAGGTTCATATATCTGCTAATGAGGCTTCAGCCTTCCTGTAGCTTTGGGGGAAGAATTCAGACACAAATTTTTCCTTTTCTCCAGCATAGTAAAGTCCTGTAGATAGGTAGGGAGTGAAAACGATTTAGTTTAACATATAACTGAGATTGAAATGGTTATACATATAGACTACTTCCTGATTTAGTAAGTCACTGTAGCTTGCAAAGTTATCCTCCTGAAACAGTGCCCAAAGAGGCTTGCACGTAATTTCAGAAGTATCCTGTGAGGGAATGCATGGAGAACCAGAGGGCCACCTTGAAGATATTTTTCTTCAGTGTATGGTTTAAGGGTAAGCATATGTACGTTTTCCTCTACTTAAGTAACATACGCATTTTACAAATGGGTAAACTGAGACAAAGTCACTTGCGTGACTTCATCCAGGAGGTGACACTGGGTCAATGACATAGCTGGAGATAGAGGTCACGATTCCACAAGGTACATAAGACCATACCTAACTTAAAGCATGTGAGTTGCCCTGTTGAAACTTAATTTGGGACCTGAAGTCTTGGCTTACAGTCCTCTAAACCAATGTCCCTTAAATTGTCCTTAGAGTTTAGAGAACCATAATCTACTTCCAGTCTTTACACAAAGCTCACATTGGTGTTTGACGGGTCTGGCCGTTAGTGTTAGCAAAGTAAAAGATAATATTGAAAACAATTGGTGTAATGATACTGGAAAAACTAACACTTTATTTAATTATAGCTTGTGCTACAATAGCTACACCAGTGAAGTGTACTTCAGACCTCTGTTTATTTTCTGTTTGCTTATTCAGAATTTTTGAGTTCACAGGAGACCAGGTTAAAGGGGCATCTTAAGCGTTCAATGTCAGATAGCTGCATGTAGGTTTCAGAACCAGATCTACATTAATAATTAGCAAGCTTCACAGCATAAAACACTTACCGTGATAAACACTACTAGAACATTGATTCCACGGTTTGGAACGTCAGTTTGTACTTTGGCTTGCTTGGATTCTTTCCTTGGGGAGTATCTTGTGTGTTTCACAGTTGCCAATTTGAGTGGGAGTTAGACTGAGTTTCACTTTTGGGGTTTATATTTCAGTGCTTGGTCTTCTGTGCGGGTGCAGAACTTCTTCAGTTTGGGATTTTTTTCTTTCCCTCTTATTCCACACCTAAAGTTAGAACAGGCGAATGTCCTCAACACACTGAGAAAAAGACTAGAATTCTCCTCCATACAATATGTCTGACAAGATTCTCTATAAAATGTAGTGCACCATGACCAGTCAGTTATAAAACATGATTCTAAATGAGGTTGTAGCAGTTCTTGGATGCTTTGGGAAGCTCTTTGTAACTTTAGTGCTTATAAGTAATTACGGGCTCAGTCTTGTAGGGGTATAGAAGAGGGTTGTGAGAGAGTGGTGCTGAGCTGTAGGTAGTGCTGCTGATCAGAGTGCTTTGTTAATCGCTCTCCAGTGAGAGAAAGTAGCTGAGGGGGATCTGCAGTCTGGTGAGCCTACAAGAACGTTTGCAGTCACTGGATTGTGCTTTAAACACCGAATCCTGGCTTTACCTCTGACCTTTCTTCCCACCCTCCCAATCCCCTCCAATCACGCCTACTTCCTCTCTTCTCCTATTCAGCAGGGCTGTGTGCAGTGCAAGGCATACTGAAAGCAGCCTTTCTGCACAGGTCCTGTGCAGATGGTGAGTGCTGGGCATTAACACTTCTGGTTTTCTGTGCTTCCTGCAGTGCTCATCAGCCTGCAGGATCAACCTCGGAAAGGCCACTAAAGTTGTGTCTGTCCAGCCCAGGTAGACAGACTTGCATTTGCAGGGCTCGAGTTAGCATGCTTAAAGTAGGAGTGTGGATGTTGTGGCACAGAGCTGGAGCTTGGGCTCTCAAGCTGACAGGGTTGGCTGGGCTTGAGACCCTGAGCTGTGAAGAGAGTGGTCACTTTGGATGGGCTGTTACCAGCAGGAGAGTGAGTTTGTGTGTGGGGGGGGGCGGAGGGTGAGAAAACCTGGATTTGTGCTGGAAATGGCCCAACTTAATGATCACTTTAGATAAGCTATCACCAGCAGGAGAGTGAGTTTGTGTGTGTATGGGGGTGGGGGGGTGAGAAAACCTGGATTTGTGCTGGAAATGGCCCACCTTGATTATCATGCACATTGTAGGGAGAGTGGTCACTTTTGATAAGCTATTACCAGCAGGAGAGTGAGTTTGTGTGTGTGGTTTTTGGAGGGGGGTGAGGGAGTGAGAGAACCTGGATTTGTGCTGGAAATGACCCACCTTGATTATCATACACATTGTGAAGAGAGTGGTCACTTTGGATGGGCTATTACCAGCAGGAGAGTGAGTTTGTGTGTGTGTGTGGGGGGGGGGCGGAGGGTGAGAAAACCTGGATTTGTGCTGGAAATGGCCCAACTTGATGATCACTTTAGATAAGCTATTACCAGCAGGACAGTGGGGTGGGAGGAGGTATTGTTTCATGGTCTCTGTGTGTATATAATGTCTACTGCAGTTTCCACAGTATGCATCCGATGAAGTGAGCTGTAGCTCACGAAAGCTTATGCTCAAATAAATTGGTTAGTCTCTAAGGTGCCACAAGTACTCCTTTTCTTTGAGCTGCAACAGCCGTTCTATGACTTTTAGTGTGCTAGCTTGAGCCCCACTAGTTCAAGTCTGTCTGCCTGGCCTGGCGAGCTCGCTCCTAGCTGCAGTGTAGCTATTCCCTAAATTACAGTCCTGCAGCTCCCCAGCCAGTCATTCACCTAGGATTTTACAGCAGGAGAGCAGATGAATTGGACTAGTATGCAGATAAGTAACTGTAGCTGTTTTTTTATGAAAGGGTGTGAATTTCCTAATATTAAATGCCTTAGGCATGCAGTACTCTTTGAGATTCTGGCATCTTGCAAAGGTAGATTTCTATTCATTGTGTTGTGTTTTCTATTTATTAGTGTCTTAAGTTGATTCTCAATGAATGGACATCAAAATTACTCCATTTAAGTGGTCCTCTGGTCATTATAGCGCAATCTATCTCTCTACCTAATTTTGTGGTCCCTATCATTATCATATCTGGATTTTATTCTCACAACTCCCCTGTGAGGTAGGGACAGCATTATTCAGTTTTTACAGATGAGGGAATGGAGGGGCAGACTCGATTAAATGGCTTGCTCAAGGCTGCATGAATTTTTCAGGTAAGGGTGCAAGAACAACACATCTTGGCTTGCCTTTTCAGAAATGTGTTTTCATCTACTCTCTAGCGCCACGAAGCAGGACCAGATGCATTAGTGGTGGAACTAGAGGTGCGGGGGGTGCTGCAGCAGCCCCTGACTTAAAGTGGTTTCCATTATATACAGGGTTTATAGTTTGGTTCAGTGGCTCTCAGCACCCCCACTATAAAAATTGTTCCAGCGCCCCTGACCAGATGAGATTTATTTCCCCTCTTCTAGGAAAACCTGGGTTAGTTTGCCTCATGCCAGTTTCAGCCTGTGAATCTACCTAACGGGCAAGGTTGGGAAGTCACTTTCATCTGTGCAAAGTAGGTATTAAATACTTTCATTTTGATCTGATGCCGTCCCTCCTCTCTCCCACACACGCCACGCCTCTTGCGCTGTCCCTGCTGTCCTGAATTACAGAGCATAGGCAAATCTTTATATTTTGGGGGTTCACTCCAAAATTCTTTTATCTCTTCCTTTCTCCCTTGTTTTAAGGCCTTTATCTTAGAAACATCAGGCCTTTCAAGGGTTCCTGGCTTCACCACGTGCAGCAGCTCCCTTCCTAGCCAAAGCCCCAAGATGGCAGAGAGCCCTAAAGGAAGGTTAAAACCAGAAGATGCTTCCTCTGTTCAATTTCTCCCCAGTCCTGCTTAGAGAGGAAATTTCGCAGCTTCTGTTCTAAGGATAGTCTCTCTCCCCCTGGACAAAGGCATCCATCCACTTGGCTACTTCAACTCCTCTGGCAGTAACATAACAGCTACAAACAGCACAGCTTCCCCTGTGTTCCTAACAGAGCAGCTCCAGAGGGGAGTAGGCAGAATTCAGTTCCAGTGTGAGACTCCAGCAGGGCCCAGAGGCTGGTTCCAGCCTCCAGCCAGGCCTTTACCACTGGTTCCAGCAATCCCTGCAGCCTTGGCCACACACTCTGGGCCCAGGGTCACCTCTTCAACCAGTCCCTGCGGCTTTTAATTGTTGTCCTTATTCCTTGTACAGTAGAACCTCAGAGTTACGAACTGATCGGTCAACCACATACCGCATTTGGAACCGGAAGTATGTAATCAGGCAGCAGCAGACACCTCAAAAGCAAATACAGTACAGTGTTAAATGTAAACTATTAAAAAAAAAAGAGAAAGCAGAATTTTTCTTCTGCATCGTAAAGATTCAAAGTTGTATTAAGTCAATGTTCAGGTGTAAACTTTTGAAAGAACCACCAGAACGTTTTGTTCCGAGTTACGAACATTTCAGAGTTACAACCAACCTCCTTTCCTGAGGTGTTTATAAGTCTGAGGTTCTACTGTATATTGTTGATAAACAAGATTGACAAACAGTAGTGACTTTGACCTCATGCTGTTTTCTCTTTGGAATGAAAACTTTCAGTATGTTGTTGTCGTTGATTACAACTAGGCCAATGCTGGTGAGGAAAAAAATCTGCAAGCATTTGCTTGAATTTAAACAGACTAAGGCCCAGGAATGGGAGTTAGGTGCCTAAATACTTTCTGAGAACCTGGGCCTGTTTTGGACCTTTCTGGTACTGCTTCATGTTCCCTTGCCAGCAACATCCTAGTAATCCAGATTTTATTCACACCAGAGGAAGGAAAATCGGAAGCTCTTACACTTGAGTGTTTGTGTTGGAAATGTTACTTTTTATAGGGGTTGGAACTTTGCATGACACAACAGGGGAACAGGCTTCCCAAAACCCTAACACAGTGGCAATTAATTGAACAAAACAAGGATCTGACTAGACTGTGCGTATAACCAATGGGATGAGCTGCCCATTTAGGTAACAAAGTTTGGAAGGACCAGGTCATCGGAACAAATCAGAACATAAAATTCAAAACTCTGTTCTTGGGTTTTAGCCCACCCCCAAATGACTATATTTCATTGCAGTGCGAATAGTAATTGAGTGACTTGCACTTTTTTTTTCTCTAGAGGAAATTCAAAGGTAGAAGAAGCCTGTGAAATGTACACCAGGGCTGCAAACTTGTTCAAGATCGCCAAAAACTGGAATGGTAAGTAGTTTGTTTCATCTGTAACGTTAATTGTAGGAAAGGCTTAAAGCTTGAGCTTCGTCTTGGAGATAAAGACCATACACCAGCTATACAGATACATTCCTAACTGTAAGAACAGTAGGACAATGGAACAGGCTGCCTTGGGAGGTTCCAGCTGCCTTGGGAGGTCCCTTCACTGGAGGTTTTCAAAAGGAGGCCGGATGGCCATCTGTCTTGGATGATTTAGATGCTACAAATCCTGCATCTTGATTGAGGGTTAGATTAGATAACCCTTGTGGTCCCTTTTAACCCAGTGGTTCTATGATTCTACATGCAAGCAAACAAATTAAAGCCTTGGTAGGGGGAAAAAAAATCTGTGTATCACGGCAAGTGAGGGGCAACCTTTGTTTTTTACACCTCCACTTGTGCTTTTTATCTTGCATATTTTGGGTGGGGAGAGAGAAATGTCATAAGTTACCCAGAGCCAGAAAAATTTAAGAAAGGAAACCTTTATACCCAGCTGCATGCTTGCATAATTGGTTAAGAACATTTCCAACAGCTTAGTGACCGGTGAATGCCCAAGCGTCCTGTTGCAAATTATCAATGTACAGTTCCACTTGGTAGGGTGTTTCCATGGGAATAGTGACTATGGCAATATAATTTCTGTACACCATCAAACCCCCATAGTTTTCTCTGGAATGAATTAAATGTTGGGAGTGGGGAAAGGGAGGTGACCGAAATACTTACAATGTTTTGTTAACTAGCCTGTGTCCACGTTCACATTATAATTTTAAAATAATTAAAGCTAGTTGCCTACAAAGAAGTTGCTCAAGAGGCGCTTCCCTGGGCTATTTGATTTGCTTTTAAGGCTTGTAAAACACACTCTTCCTGAGGCCAGAAACTTGAAAGTTATCTAATATTCTGGATGAGCTATAAATCAGAGGTACACAAGGAGAATAGCTGTTCCCTGCTATGCTGTGGGGAAGTGGTAGCACTGTAAAAGTGGAATAGTTATTGCTAGCTCTGTGTTTGAAATGCTGTGCCATATTTGGTGGCTGTGGGAAACATTGATGCAAATATAAATTTCCCAAGATAAACGTGAACATCCTATGCACGGAATAATCTTGGGATTTGAGACACTGGTATCTCTTCAGCCTTTCACAAAAAAGGAATGAAAACTCTGTTCACAAGGGACAAAATATCACCAGTTTTTCTTTAACAAATGGGAGATGAGGAACTGAAAAAAATGTTTACTTCTTCCCGAACTTTTTATCTGCGTCTCTCTAAATCATGCTTGGATGTGCCATCAACATACAGGTTAAGGGGGAGACTTTCAAAACAAAAATGAGGTGCCCAATTCCCAGTGAAAGTCAGTGGGAGTAGTGCGCCTAGCTGTCACTTGTGTTTTTGTCAATCTCCTGCTAAATGCACATACACTACTGAGTAGCACACTCTGAATGTGTGAATTGGTCAGTATTAGGATAGGGTAGAAATAGTAACAGAAACATAGTCCTGGGAGAATTTTGTGCCACTGTACATGCGAAGAATTTATGTCCCCCACAGATTTCTTTGCTTCCCCACAGAAAAATGACTTTCTGATGGGGAGGCAAAGGGAAGCCACAAGAGCGGTCATGCGACCCTCCCCAGCTGCATGTTTCGGATGCCCAGGGCAGCTGGCAGAGAGGAAAATCACTGTGAGGCAGGAGGTGGGACTGGGGAAGACCCAGCTGGTGACTCCTACCCTGTGCTGGGCTCAGCTGCTAGTCCCGGCTGGGCTGGGAAGGACAGGACTTCCTCTTCCTTTGGATGGCATCCAGGGCCCAGTCAGACCCACCCCCAGATTTCTCCACCAGCTGCAGGAAGCTCTACGAACTCCAACCCCACCCCCCAGCCCACTGCCGCTTCCTGCACCCATTGCTCCTCAGCTTCAGGGGAGGGATCCCTGTACAGGGAGCTGCTCCCTCCATCTGCCCAACCCCCGTGCATCCAGAGCCCCACTCCAAGCCTCACCCCCTCACACTCAGAACCCCCCCCAATGAGTCACACTCCCCCTGCACCTGGACCATCCTGACAAGCCACCCGCACCTGGATCCCCACCCCACTGAGCCCCACTCCCCCAGCATCTGGACCCCCCACTGAGCCCCCCACACCTAGACCCCCTGCCCAGCTTTATTCCCCCACCACACCCAGACCCCCCTGCTAAGCTCCAACCACCTTCACCTGGACCCCCCTCTAGAGTCCCATTACCATTGCATCCAGAAACCCCCAACAAGCTCCTGGGCATCCAGATCCCCCCTGCACCCGGATCCCCCACTGAGCCACCCGCACCCAGATTGCCCCACACAGAACCCTCTCAAACCACACCTCGATCCCCCCACACTGAGCCCCTCCACACTTGGATCCTGCCTTGCTGAGCCTGCCTGCCCACACCTGGTGCACCTGGCACGGAGGGACAGGGCCCTGGGGTGTTTCTGGGGCAGGCCCAGTCCTTGCACTATGTCAGCATTGGGTGCAGCCTCACCGCTGAGGCCGTGTCCTAAGGGAGGAGCTGCATAGTGATCTCCCACATCTGTGCAGCCAGTGACCTGTGTTCCCCAATGCCATGCTGGAGCCTCCACATTTATTTGACAAAGAAAATTTGCAGAATTTTAAAATATTGCGTGCAGAATTTTTATATTTGTGGTGCAGAATTTTTAACTTTTTTGGCACAGAATGCCTTCAGGAGTAAGAAAGTGATATTATTGCTTCATTTGCCATCAAGTTGCAGGAACTAAAAATTTCAAAAAGAGAGAGGTCTCAGCCTCCCTTTTCTCAGGTGCAGTTTCCAGCTGCAGTTTGACACCCACAGAATTAATTGCATAACAAGTCAAAGTACATCTATATGATCCACCTCTGACTACCTGATTGCACCTACAAATCTGGTAGAGGTGCAGTATTCAGAGTTGAACCCACCATCCAATTTCAGACATAAAAGTGAGGGTGCAGATTTTGCATATGCAAATTGAACCTGCAAAAGGAAAGCTGTCTCTTTGAAAATGTGACCTTAAATTTTCAGTGGGCCTCCTACGCTGCATGTTCCTCTTTCTGTGCATGGAAGAAAACATTTGTTGAGCAAATGGGGTAGTTTTATGGATGATGACCTGATTTTTGCATACAAATACAGAGTTTTGTTTGTGCATCAGGGTGCACAGTCAAAAAATTATAATTTTGTAGGTCCATTGAAATTTGGCCATATGTGTTCTTAACACCATGATTTTGCACACTGAAGGATAGCAGTTCTCCACAAATCACAAGCACATGTATCTAAGAGCATGATTTGGTCACTGGAATTCATGTGCCTTTTCTTTCACTTGCATAGTTGCCATATCTATTAAAGTTCTTCAGGTAGTGGAAAGCAGTACGTGCTCATCTTTTTACTGGAGGCATGTCCATAAATTCATGCTTATTAAATGAGACTGGAAATATTAATCTTTTTTGTTGTATTTCTTTCCTAGCTGCAGGAAATGCATTTTGTCAGGCAGCCAAGCTCCATATGCAACTACAGAGTAAACATGATGCAGCCATCGGTTTTGTGGATGCTGGGAATGCTTACAAAAAGGCAGATCCACAAGGTAAGGTAAATGAAATACTGTACAAGAATATACAAATCCTGTTAGTTGTGTAGTAACTGGCAGACTGGCTTCCTTTTGTAAGACAGGTATTTGATTTAAGATCTTCAGTTAGTGTTCTATAAAGCACTTTAAGTATGGTCTTGGAGTGTGAGCATTTCATAGAGAGGCAAGAAATAGTTTGCTTAAGGCCTGTTTCCTCATTCATGTTTTGCAACTAATGCTAAATTTATCATGTCTGTTCTGGGTTGAAGCAATCTGATTACATTTTTTCATGAGCCTTTTGAAATAAGATTGGTCATAATAGGTCTGGTTTTACCCATTTGTGTGTTTTGAGATTTACAGGTCTAAAGAAGTAGTTCTTTGTTTCTGTCGATGTCAGTTGTGAACCAGATTGTGTTCTGTTTGTACCTGTATACATCTGGAGTGAATCCAGTAGCTTCAACAGAATTACTCTGGATTTACCCTAGTGTAACTGAGAGCAGAATTTGGACCCTTGTCTGTTTCTCAGCCAGTAGGATTTAGAATTCTGGTAGACAACATGAAGGATGCTTTATATTAAGTCACAGTGACCCCTCTGACTTCCTATGGAAACATCATTGACAGATTCAAGTAAGGAGACTTGTTCAGCTTTCCCACTGAGATGTCTGGACTTTTCAGGGGAGGGAGGGTGAATGAAAAGGGAAAGATCGCAAAACTCTCTTAGGGATAGAAAAGACACCTGCTCATTGGCGAAGCTGCGTTCAAACAACCTGTATGTTGTGTCCTTTGTCTCTCACAGCCTTAAGACTATGGGGAAACCACATGGACACAATTGGATTCCAAATAACTGTATTTATTAACTATGTACAAATATATAAGACCTAGCTACCTACATACACTGCTGCTCTACTGAAATAGAAGACATGGAGCTCCCCTAAAGGGCTCCGGACTTCTTTTTAAAGGGATATTACTCAGGTACTACACACAACACTGGATATTTTAAGAGCAACTACTGATATAATAGATGTCTGTGCTCCCAGTCTGACAGCTTCTATGCTGTTGAGGAGGAAGAAAGTCTTGGGGAAGGAGAACATGAAGCTGGAGCAGAGGGAAACTATCCCATAGTTGGAGCCTCCTTCCAGATGATGTTATGGTGTCCTCTTGCAGTGAGAATACCATTCTGGAATATGAGATCCCTGTTATTAGGAAGAGACAGGTAATAGTAATGGTGGATTCAATTATTAGAAATATGAACAGTTGGGTTTGTGATGATTGGGAGACCCGCATGGTGAATTGCCTGGCAGGTGTGAAGGTTGCAGACCTCTGGAGACATACAGACAGACCTGTGTGCAGAGCTGAAGAGGAGTTGGTGGTTGTGGTACATGTAGGTACCAACAACATAAAGAAAGGTAGGCGAGAGTTCCTGGAGACCAAATTTAGGCTGCTAGTTAAGAAATTAAAGTCCTGGACCTCCATGGTGGCATTCTCTGAAATGCTTCCAGTTCTACACACAGGGCCAGTGAGACAGCCATCACATGAAGGCAGACAACTAAATATTGACAGATTTTGTAAGTGGTTGAGTACAAATGCTAGAAGTCTCAATACTAAGATGGATGAACCTGAGTGCTTGGTTGAGGCTATTAATGTAATGAGGCTATTAATGTAATAGGCATCACAGAAACGTGGTGGAATGATGATAATCAGTGGGACATGGCAATACCAGGGCACAAAATATATAGGAATGACAAAGTAGTACATGCTGGTGGGGGAATGGGACTATATGTGTAAGAGAGCATAGAGTGAAATACAGTAAAAAAATATCTTAAATGAATCAAACAGTACCATAGAATCTCTATGGATAGAAATTCCTTGCTTGAATAAGAGTATAGCAGAAAGAATATACAGCCAACCAGCTGACCAAGATGGTCACGTTGACTGTGAAATGCTAAAGGAGATCAGAAAGGCTACAAAAAAAAGAAAACTGGGATTAATGTTGTTCAAAATATTCATAAATGATCTGGAAAAGAGGGCCAACAGTGAGGTGGCGAAGTTTGCAGACGATATAAAATTACTCAAGACAGTTAACTCCAAAGGAGACTGTGAAGAGTTACAAAGGGATCTTGCAAAACTGAGTGTCTGAGCGACAAAATGGCAGATGAAATTCAATGTTGATAAATTCAAAGTAATATACATTGGAAAAAATAATCCCAACTATACATACAAAATGATGGGATCTAAAATAGGTGTTATCGCTCAAGAAAGATCTTGGAGCCATTGTGGATAGTTCTCTGAAAACATCCGTTCAATGTGCAGCCGCAATCAAAAAAGCTAACAGAATGTTGGGAACCATCAGGAGAGGGATAAATAATAAGACAATAAATGTCATAATGCCACTATATAAATCCATAGCACGCCCACACCTTGAATACTGCATGCAGTTCTGGTCACCCCATCTCTAAAAAGATATACTAGAATTGGAAAAAGTCCAGAAAAGGGCAACAAAAATGAATAGGGGGATGGAACAGCTTCCATCTGATAAGACATTAACAAGACTGGGACTATTCATCTTAAAAAAAAAAAAAAAAGAGTCAAGAAAGGGGGGGATATGTCAGAGGTCTATAAAATTATGAAGGGTATGACGATCGTGAATATAAAACTGTTATTTACCCCCTCACATAACACAAGTACCAGGGTCCCCCAATATAATTAATGGGCAGCAGGTTTAAAACAAACATAAGGAAGAACTTCTTCACACAATGTGCAGTCAACCTGCGGAACTCATTGCTAGGGGATGTTGTGAAGGCCAAAACTATAATGGGTTCATAAAAGAATTAGAAAAATTCATGGAGGATAGGTCCATCAATGGCTCTGACTGCCAGAAGCTGGGAGTGGACAATGGGATGGATCACTTGCTAATTGCCCTGTTCTTTTCATTCCCTCAGAAGCATCTGGCCACTGTCGGAAGACTGGATACAGGTCTAGATTGACTGTTGGTCTGATCCAGTATGGCCATGCTTATGTTCTTATGAATATTGATAGGTTTCCTGTGTATTCACTAGGTATTTGAGTACACTAAAAGCTTGCTTCTTCTGGACAAAATTTTCAAAAGCAAACTAAGAGACTGGAGTACAGTTTTTTGCATACGCTACTGTTTGAATGTGTAACTTTTCAAAGTCAAAAATTTGGTCTGGGAAAAATCAGTTTGTTCATAGGATGTGCATGTCTCCATGGAATTCGACATTATATGGTTACTAGATTTGCCAATACAAATGCACTTAAATGTACTTTTAGTTCACACATCTCAGAGGTTTTTGTATGTGTTACATTTGGGGCATTAAAATGAACGTCTGCAGTTTCAGAGCCTGGGTAGCTGGTTGTTTGAGAAGCTGGCCATTTAGGTTTCTGGTCAGAACAGACACACAGCAGAAATACTGCCTTGCCTTGGTGAAAGCTGAACTGTTGAACAATGTCTGGATGTCTCAGCTGATTTTATTTTTAATTGTTTTTCCTGAATGCTTACGCTACAGAGGCTATGAACTGCTTAAATGCAGCCATCGATATTTACACAGACCTGGTAAGAAATTGCATTGCCTTGAGGAGTTGGGGTTGGTATCCCAATGTCTGGCAACTTAGATTGATGCCTCTTTATTTAAACTAGTTAGATTAAATCATTGTTCTATTAAAAGTAATAAATGCTGCATGTACTTGAAGGAGAGAGGGGAAAAAAACTCTGTTTTCCTTTTTTTTTTTTTTTTAATTGTCCATCCTAGGGCCGATTTACTATTGCTGCCAAGCATCACATCACCATTGCAGAGATTTATGAGACGGAGCTGGTAGATATTGAAAAGGTAAGCTGATTAAACTGTTAGAATTTTTCATTGAAACTGTATTTGAATGTGCTATCAGAACTGCGTATGATTATGAAACTTCACTCTGCTGGCCTAGGGAACTTCATGAATCAGGCTCTACCAGGAACCTAAAGTCTCTAGGCTTGTTTCCGATACTGCTGTGTGGGTATATGTCAGGAGTAACTTGTGTGAAGTTAGTGTAGTTAAACTTGTAGTTAGTGTGGTTAAACTTGGTGTGAGTGATACCAGGATCAAGCCTCAGAGATGAGTTGTTTGGTCTTTGCCTTTTATGTGCCTCTTTTCCCCCTCTCTTCCATGTTTTTAAGTTACCTCTTCCTTTCCTTATGATCATCAGTGCAAGCTTGACTCTCATATGGAGGCCTGAAGCAGATGGACTGAGCAAGTCACTTTAGATTTACGCGAGTGCTCTTGAAATACCCCAGATCCCATTTCAGACCTGATGAGGATGATGCTGTGTTGGTCAGTTTAAAAGTGTTTGTGAAAGACTGACAGGAAAGTGTGAATTGCACAGAAGTTGTTTATATGGTACAGTTCTTTGGGGGGCAGGGGAAGGAGACAATCAAGCTACACCTATTTAGTACGATTTGACAGATCATTGCAGAAGTGTGATGGGATGTCTGCAGTGCCTGCAGCCTTGGATGCTAAGCATGTCAGAGCTAACAGACTTGGATGAAACTCTTTCCCTTTACCCTACAAGGAAAGTCCGGTTTGCCATGGGAAGTGGTATTTTTAGTGAATCCAGTCGATATCTCTCTTTCCTCTAAGGCCATGTGTACACGACAAACTTTGGTCGACCCAAGTTATGTTGGCATTAAGCTGCCATTGTTAGTATATTGTGCGTGCATATTTGGCTCCTTGTGTCTGCCGTGCATGTACTCACCAGGAGTGCTTTTGTCAATGCACAGTGTTGTGCATCATGGGTAGGAGTCCCAGTGTGCGACCCGCCACTGTCAAACGCACTGTCTTTTGGGAAGTCTTTTGGCAATGCATGATGGGGCCTAAACGAGTCACGCAGGGGTGACTGGGAGCAAGGGGTCAACATCCCAGCATGCAGCTGTCTCCATCCCGTAATGTCATTTATATCCCATAATTTTTACTCCTTTTATCAAAATCCCACAAACCTACATGGCTCTCCTTGCTATCCACCTTCTCTGACTGAAGCATGGAAGCCTGCACAGCTCTGCACTTTGTTGTAAGCATTGCAAGCACAGGACACACAATCCAGAGCTGCAAGAATAACCAAATCAATGGGGAACATGACGATTCCTTGGAGGACAGACTGCTGTGGGACATAACGAGCACCAATTCAAGGTTGTTGGCTTTCATGGAGCAGCTGGAGATGGTGGCGTGCTGCTTCTGGACACGAGTACTTACTGGTGGGATTGCACTGTAATGCAGGCTTAGAATGACAAACAGGGGCTGCAGAACTTTTGAATGCGCAAGGCCACATTCCCAGATCTGTGTGCTGAGCTCGCCCCAGACCTCCAGTGCAGGGAGACCAAAACGAGAGCTGCACTGACTGTGGGGAAGTGAGTGGAAACTTGCAATGCTGGATTGACACCGGTCAGTGGGAAATCAGTGTGGAGTGGGAAAATCCAATGCAGGGGCCATTGTCATGCAAGTGACTGTAATGCAAGCCTCAGTGCAGGTCCATTAATCTCCTCCTGCTGCGCAGGACTGTGACTCTTGGTAATGTGCAGGACATAGTGGATGGATTTGCAACAATGGGGTTCCTGAACTGTGGTGGAGCAATAAACAGCACTCATATCCCTATTTTGGCACCTTGCCATAGAGTGCATCAACAGAAGGGCTACTTTTGTGTGGTTATGCAAACATTGGTGGATCAGTGGGAACACTTCACTGACATCAGTGTGAGCTGGTCAGGGAAGGTGCATGACACTCACATCTTTAAGAACACAGGACTTTTTAGAAAGCTATAAGGAGGGACTTTTTTTCATGACTGGCGGATAACCACTGGCAATGTTGAAATGCCAATAGTGATCCTGGGGGACCTAGCCTACCCCTTGCTCATGAATAAGGCTACAATTATGTCACAGAGGTCATGGAAGTCACGGAATCCATGACTTCCAGAGATCTCTGTGACATTTTGTGCCCCAGGGCTGGAGCTGTCAGCAGGCAGCCCCGCAGCTCTCAGCCGCTGCTGGCGGCAGGCCCTCAGCAGCTCCTAGCACTGGGCATTAAGGGGACCCCTGAGCTCCCAGCCCCCATGGACTGTGGGGGTTCCCTGGAACTCCTGCAGGCCACAGGAGCCCCCCTGCCTCTGCCCAGCCACGGCGGGCCGAGCAGGGACCCCATAGCTCCCAGCCATGGCTGAAGGCAAGGGGACCCCAGAGCCTCCAGCCGCTGGGGGTGCTGGACCCTCCTCTTTCCACATTTTGTCAGGGATATTTTTAGTAAAAGTCATGGACAGGTCACGGGATTTTTTGCCCATGACCCATCCGTGATTTTTACTAAAAATATCTGACAAAATCTGAGCCTTACTCATGAAGCCATACCCCAGCAACCTCGAGAGCAGCAAGGAAAGATTCAGCTACCAGCTCAGCAGGTGCAAAATGAAGTTGAATGTGCTTTTGGCAGATCTGGCATTGTTTATTCACGAGATGGGAGCTCAGTAAGAAAAATATCTCAATGGTTATAGCTGCCTGCTGTGTCCTGCATAATATCTTTGAAGCAAAGCGGGGAAGCTTGCTGCTGGGATGGAGGGCAGAGGTGGAGAGGCTGTCTGCTGAGTTCAAACAGCCAGACACAAGGGCTTATCGCAGAAGAGCTTATTGCAGCTGTATGACTCAGGGAGGCTTTGAAGAAGCACTTTTACAGTGAGCGTCAGTAACGCATTGTGGTGTACTGTGCTCTGTGTGGCCCTGCTGTTTTGTGGCCTATCAGGAATTGTGTGGTGCTGGGGGTACATGGTTGACTATAACATTGTCAGTGCACCTATTAATTTCGTAGAGCTCGCTGTACATTTATCATTATTAGACCCTGTAGGTCACTGATCCTGTGAGTTGTCATGCTGTGCAGTAACAGGTAAGTAGGTGATTTCAGAACTGCTGGGTGCACTGCAGCATATGCTGTGAACTAATAAAGATGGATTATTTTCCAAATAATAGAATTTTATTCAGTAACAAAATCAGTGAAAAGAAAGATCTGAGCAATTTAAAAGCAAAGACATTCAAAATTTCATGAATTAATAGAACGGAACTTTTCAAGAGGAAAGAACATTCATGTCCATTTTAGCTACACATACAGCTACTGTGGCTGTCCCAGGTCAGCGTATGTGAAGCTGTGGTTTTCCGTAATGTCTCCTGGGATGGAGCGGTAGAGGGGTAGGGCGGTGGCCCTTGATGCCATGTGGAATGTTGAGGGTGGATGCTGCAATGGAGTTCTGCATAGACTGCAAAGGGAGGTGAGCCGAGGATTGTTGAACATGTAGGTCCACAAGAGTCTGCAGCATCTGTGTTTACTGTTGGAGAAGCCTCATTATGTCCTGGGGCATCTCCCTATCCTTTTCCTGCTGGGACTCCTGGGTCTTTCTCCTCTCTGTTCTTTCCTTCTCCAGGCTGTCTGCAAAGCTTGCCATTTGATTTCAATGGGATTACATGCAGTAGTAAGAGTTATAGTCAGTAGTCCAGTTTTGCAGGATTGAGCTCTTAATCGGAGTTCATTCGGGATGGGTTGCAGTGTATCAATATTGGTATAATCTTGTGGGACAATAACAGTGGAATGTCATGTTATCCCTCTAAAACCACGTGAGGAATTTTGAAAAATTCTAATCTTTGTAAATACAGTGTTCCCCCCCAAATCTCATCTCAAAAGTAACATGCTGAGAGAAAAAAATGTTGTGTCTGTCTTTTAGGCAATTGCACATTATGAACAAGCTGCAGATTACTACAAAGGAGAAGAATCCAACAGGCAAGTCTTCTTCATAGAATAGTTATTTGAAACAATGAAGATTTACAGTCTGGATTTATCCTTCTTTTTTCTTTCCTATAATAAGATGTGCAAGTATTATTTGCCTCTCCTAATTTGTGAATTCTTTAATAAGATGTCCAAATCCTGCATTAAGATGCTGAGATTGTCACTTAGGTACATGAAATTGGCATTCACTTACCTACCTGTCAGTCTGAGTATTCAAATGGAGATCTTTGGAGACCTATTTAAGGTGCTTGCATGTGAAAACTGATTTCTGCCTTTGTTTAGATTTTAATATTTGACTTCCATCCACTGTGGGATGTTTAATGCACACACTTTCTAGTCTCTTTGGGGCTGAATATCATACCATCGGTCACTGGGAAGAGAATTTTCTGTAGATTTGCAGAAAGCTTTCAGATTCAACATTTGACCTTAGTGGTTTAATAGTTTTGGTATTTTTAATATACTCATTTTTCTAACAGGTAACTACTGGGCAATGTTTTCACATACATTAACTAGTGGATGTATCTATTAGAGAAGCAGGGAAATGGACATATTTACCACTAGGTACTGTACCGTTACTTATTTTAACTGAAGTTCTTGATTCTAGTTCAGCTAACAGGTGTCTGCTGAAGGTGGCTGCATATGCTGCTCAATTAGAGCAGTACCAGAAGGCAATTGAAATCTACGAGCAGGTTAGTGTATATATACTCTTTTTATAAAATGGAGAGTATAGTTGAAGACACATAACTGCATATTATATGCTGCTCCTGATGTCTGGGTCAGGGCCTGTGGTCACTAAATCTGGAACTCTATGGGCTTGTCTACACTGCCCCGCAGTTTGGACTGTGGGGTTGTGAATAACAGTGAGCACTAAAATGCTGCACTGTAACTCTCCCTCATGAACACTGCAGGCATGAACTAAAGGGTTCCTAGTTCATGTTAACATAGTTCTCTTCAAACAGGACTGCATTAATGCATTAGTGCACTGTTATTGCCAATCCTGTAGTCCAAACTGCGGGACAACGTAGACAAGCCCTAAATCTTGCATTGGTCTTAGGAAGGTGGACTAAAGAGATCATTTCCTGCCCTAATTGTGGAAAGAATCAGCATTCTCTCAGTAGTCGAGGCTGCAACTAGCTTCCCGTTGTAAGATAGATTTTGCCCGTTCCGTACAACTGAACTGGATGTGAAATTTCACATGTGGACTTTGTCAAGAGTAGAATTCCTTTTGTCAAACTATGCCATGAATCAGATGAGCCATTACTGGGAGATATATGCAGTGGTGTGTAGCCGTGTTGGTCCCAGGGTATTTGAGAGACAAGGTCGGGGAGGCAATAACGTTTATTGGACCAGCTTCTGTAGGTGAGAGAGAGAGAGACAAGCTTTTGAGTTTACACAGAGCATTTCTTCCTGGTGATAGTTACTGCATCTGTTCTTCTTCCCTGAAGAAGAACTCTGTGTTAGCTCGACAACTTGTCTCTCTCACCAACCAGAAGTTGGTCCAATAAAAGACATTACTTCACCCACCTTGTCTCTCAAATTTCTGAGATGTAATTTATCAAAAATATATTTTACTTTTTGAAAAAGTGAGTGATTTTTTTTTTTTTTTTTGGTCACAGTATCTAGAAATTGGCTTGGCCGATTTAGTCTGTTCCAGACTCTTTTGAGATCTAGTGTAGAGCTTTTTTTCTTAAAAAGGTAGATACTGCTTCTGTGAATTGTTCCAGGATGAAATTCTAACTTACTTTCTAAGCTTAGTTTTGAAGGCCTATAACTTGGGTTGGGGTTGGGGATTCCCTATCTGGTATAATTTTGGGGAAAACTTTGAGGGTGATTGGACATGTGATTGCAGAGTTAGAAAACTTTTCCAAAAGCTATTTGTGCCTTGTGTTTCCAAGTCTCTTCTTTCTTCCTCCCATCTCTCCCACCCGCAAAATAGTCTTATGGCTGGAATCTCAAATGTTGTTAATGCTTGAGTCCTAATTGAGATCTAGTGCATAGCACTAATAATCAAGAGAAACTGTGAAATAATTAGGAATCCATGGCTAGAGCTAATCCCTAGCAGACTGGCTGGCAGCCGATGCATTTAAGTGGATCATTTTAATAGAGATTCTGCTGCCACCATATTACCCTTTGTGCTCAGAATCTCCAGATATGAGGGTTGGTAGGTAACTAGAGGATGACCATTGGTGTAAGGTCAGCTAGGGTTGTTTGTGGAACCTAATCTGTGAACTTCCTGGCTTTCAAATTTTTATTTTTATATATTTTTTTTACCTTTTGTAAGACTGTACTGTTTTGTCTTCATTGACACCTACAGTGTTTGCAAACTTAGCTATTGTGTCATAATGAAGATTTTTTTTGGCTGGGAGTATTTTAAATCGGCTCTTTGCCTGTGAACCGTTTAGGGGCCCAGTCCTTGTACAGGATATCACAGAATCAAATCACTGTTCCCTAGTCTGCATCAAATGGCAAATAGAAGGCACTTCGAGAGAGGCTGTACTTGTGAAGCAGTGCACAATAAATAGAGCTCTGTGGGCATCTGATCTGGAATTACTGAGCATCCTCCCCTCCTGCTGACTTCCATAGGAGTTGAGGGCTCCCTGCACCTGGCCGAATCAGGCCTAAAACATTAAGATGTGGGGAAACAAACTATTGTAGTGTAGGGGTAGCTGGAGTCTTATGCTTGCACCATGGAGGAGTGGACATAATGCCTCCAGGGATGCTGACAGGTGACGGTTACTGCATCTGCTCTACAGTTTTGCTCTCGCCAGTACTCAGCAGCCGAGAGCTAGTGCGCAGGGGACATGAAGCCACAGCCATGCTCTTCCCATTCCATACATGGCCCTTTTGGGGTCTGGAATATTGCTGGCAGCACAGGACCTCCTGCATTCTAGGACAGCAGCCATCCAAATGGTGTCTGCCTCCAGTATGGGTGTGCAGTGCTGGGAAACCAATTCCTTTCACTCTCCTTCCTCTTCTACTGATCTTGTGCAGGGCAGCCATGACTTGGCCTCTATGTGTCTGTATAGTGCTATGTAACATGCTCCAGAACGTCAGTTTGTAATGCCAGACAAACCTGGTGGAGGTGCTAGAGTGGATTCCCTTTGCCTGCAACATTCTGCTTTATAAGAGGTGCTAGTTTCCGATTGCTTGCCAGAAAAGCTGAGATGGAGTGCATCCCTGATGACTGGAGTGTACAAAACAGAGTACAAAACACCACTTAGTTAGAGGGAGAGTGTGCGGTTTTCCCCAGAATCAGTGCTCTTTTAAAATCCTACACATGCACACACACGTGCAGTCTCACTCCTCTTCCGTGAGGGCTCAGTCCTGCAAGGTGCTGAGCACTTTGTCCCCAGTCCACCAGCTTCCTTCAGTACATGAGGAGTCCCATTGGCTTTAGGGGGACTGTTTGTGCTTACAGCTAAGTACGTGCTTAAGTGCTTCGCTGGATCAGGGAGAGAGCGCTCAGCAACATGCAGGAGTGATCGCTGGAGGAACAGAGAGAACCACCTTTCTGTTCTGGGTGGTGGTTCTCCTAAAAAATATTGTACAGCCTTTAAGTGCTGCATTGACATGTGCTGGATAAACCGTTAAAGAGGGTTGATGGATGTGTGCGTGCACATACATCTTTACAACCACAGTAGGTGGGGACTTTAATGCCTACGTCACTTTATTATTTTATATATAAGAATATTTGTGACTGATTTGTTTCATTTTGGAATTTTGTTGTACTAGATGAAACCTCTTGAGCTGTTGTTTTTTCTTAGGATGTGGTATTTGTTGCATGTTTTGAATCCAGTCTCTTAAACAAGTGTGAGCTCTTACATGTAATTTTGATCACCTTGGGGGTTTTTAGTTCTTGTCTTACAAAGAAAAGATAGTATACAACCTAACTGTCACTATAACTTTTTATATCTAGGTTGGAACAAATACTATGGATAATCCGTTGCTCAAGTACAGTGCAAAAGAGTATTTCTTTAAAGCTGCTCTCTGCCACTTCATTGTGGATGAGTTGAATGCTAAGGTTAGTGACCTCTAGTGTGTTCTCCTAGGATGTACAGTATCACGTAAATGAAATTTTGCAACATTAAGTAATGCAAATGTGACTGAACTATCTCGCATTTCCACAGTATGGGTGTGAAATATACATTCTCTCTTGATATGCGGTGATTACTATTAAACATTCACCGTAGGATCTGAGCTATGGCAGTGCGTTCGTTTTCGAAAAGAACAGTTGACTTTTATTTTTGCATGGGAATCATTGCTGAGGCGGGGCCTGTTTTTCGAAGCCAGATTTCCTTTTTATGCTTGCCAACAATAGGAGGCGCCCTTAGTTTTGGGTGCAGACAAAGGCATGTAGAGAGATAACTACCACGAGTCGAGCGGAGGCACAGATGACCACATTCATATCCACAAAATAGTGCCAGCAATTATTTGCAAAAGAAAGGGAAGCACTTTCTGTCTAGCGCCATATTGTTCAAAACAAAACAATTTTTATGTGGGCGCAGTCCCATAAAAAGGCCACGATTTAAGTGTCTCCAAAAGGAAGCTGTTTCTGTTACTCCTTTTGATCAGGATTTTCAAATATATAGGAGTCCTTTCAGGGGCTGACTTTCATCCTGCCTGTAATCGAGTTGCTTTTTTGTTTTGTAGGCACCTAAGTACTGCCCCTGACTTGCAGGCTCAGTCAGGTAATTAACGTTCTGGTGCAGCACCTGCTGAAGTCAGGCGGGATAGTTCTGTTGATTCCAGTGTGTGTTGGATCAGGCCAGGGATGTATGACCTGACTTGCACCTTCATGGCCTGATCCAACACACATTGAAATCAACAGGGCCCTTTAAAGTCACAGCTCAAGCTGAAAAAAATAACAGACCACAGCGTGACTGGCTTCTGCTTAAGAGGCAGCATGTACTTTCTCCTGTGGACTGCAGAAGTCATTCCCTTAGCTCTGCAGTCTCCGTTGTGTCTAGTTTCTCCTAAAATCTGCAGGGAAGAAAGGCAAATGACCTCTTTTTTGGAGTTCTCTCAAGGTAGATCCAAACTCTCCTTTCCTGCATCCTCCTTCAAACAGCGGACAGTTTTTTTTCCCCCAGTAGAAATGTGTGTTAGTTTAGGTGGAAGGGGAACTAGCTGGGGTTTGGAGCATCACCTGTCACAATGACAGGGTTTGAAACTTAAATAAGCCTTCTAGCACATTATTTTCCCTCCACCCTTACAACACCTTAGACACATTTCCAGTTAGGCAAAGACCAAGTCTGGATCTTAAATCTGAATTTCCTTGTGTTCTTGGGATTTTATTGGAATCTGTTATGTTATGCTGTTTGTTGCAGTGTATTAGGGTTAGGTTACATAAAGACAATAACTATGAGAATAACTCTTGTATTTAGATGAAACCTAATGGTTGCTTTTTCTAGTAATTTCAACTGAAGGGCTCGCTTCTCTGTTTCAGCTTGCTCTTGAGAAGTATGAAGAAATGTTCCCAGCATTCACAGATTCGAGAGAGTGCAAGCTAGTGAAAGTAAGTAGAACTGATGTTAAATACAGTTGCCCTGAAAGTTGTTGTTGGTTGGAAAGTAAAAAAATTGCACTTGTACTATCTTTCCCTTACCATATACTATGTTGAGCTGTTCATATGATTTGTATATATTAGAGGACACCCCATGAATTGTACAGAACTTGTGTAACTGGGGAGACAATTAAAATAGAGACAAATTATAATGAAATGAAAGTAGATATTTATGTGTAAGCAAATATTATAACAGTAGATCCAAAGGGCCTGTTGGAGAGTATCAGACACTGTCTGTATATTGTTGGGTTGAACAGGTTCAGGAGTTCATCGTTCTGAGCGATGCGCAAGCATTAGATATTTATCTCTTTTGGTTTCTTAATGGAGAAAAGCGTTAGATGTAATCTGTAGACCACAGGGTAACAGAATACCCAGGCAGTGTGTGCTCAGTCTGCTGTAAATTGAAGTGATAAATTTTCAGTACTAATGTATTACCCTTGACTGTAATTCTGTTAGAAACTGCTGGAAGCTCATGAGGACCAAAACTGTGAAGCGTACACTGAGGCAGTAAGTAGTCAAGCTATACAGGGATACATTTGCGGCAGACTATTCTGGGACCAAAGTTCAAAGGAGCCCCCCTCTAAGTCTTCATTTCTGCATGCTAATTTTGCATGCTCAATTACTTGCACAAGCGTTCCTGGGCACTGTTATTCTTTGAGCACTGGCAGCATCCTCTGTGCTGTACAAAACACACAGGCAAAGGGGTCTGATTGCCATGTACACTGAAACCACTTCACACCGCTTTGGAAGGGTAAACAGAGCAGTGTAGAGGCCTTAGTGTAAATGAAAATTCAGTCTAAAGTCTCCGTCCTGAGAAACTAATGGAAAGAGTTTACAATCTAAGGGCCTGATTCACGACTGTGTAACTCCAGTTTTACAGTGTAACGTCGCTGAAATCAGTGCAGTAGCAGATCAGGTTCCAAAAGTTTTTAAACATCTCTAGGCCATATTCGCCAGTGGGCATGGGGTGCCTCGGGCTGTTGCAGCAGTACTGAGTGGCTGAAAATGTCTAAAGGTCCCTATTCAGCAAACCATCCCTCCTCAGCAAAGCACTGAAGCATAGGCTTAAGTCCCCGTGAAGTATAATGTGTAAAAAAAAACCCCAAAACTTGGGTGAGGTTCTTCTGAATTACCAGTGCTCACCTACTGGTCATCACTCCATTTCGAGGACTCCTTACTCTCCACTCTAGTTCCTTCCTCTTCCCTTCTTTTCCCAACAATCCTGGCCTCTTTGTGCTTGATCTTTGAAATTCCCACTGACTTTAATGAGCTTTGGATCAGCCCTTTACTACATGTATCGGTGGTTTAAGGAATATTTAACTAACAGAAATTTAAGTAAATGACTAGCAAATGAAATGGAGCACACCATTTACTGCTAGGAGTAGTGATAGCAATATTCCCATTTGCCCTCTGTTAAACTGTTTTAAACTTCCTTCCCATTAGGTTAAGGAATTTGATTCCATATCTCGCTTGGATCAGTGGCTTACGACTATGTTGCTTCGCATCAAAAAGTCACTTCAAGGAGATGGTGATGGAGACCTAAAGTGAATTATTTGCGGTATATGTAGCATGTTGCCTAACTCCTAAATAATCTGTTTTTGTGTAATGGCCATGGACCATTATGGAATACTTGACACTACTCCTAGCTTAATTTTGCTGTTTATGAACCAAATTACCTGTATTGTTAGTATCCTGGTGTCTTTTTGATGACATGGATGGATAAGAAATGATACTGCTAGGTGTTGCTGACAGATCTTCCATATGTGAGAGCAATAGAGGGATTCACAAGACTTTTGAGATCAGTGAAAGAAATGCTTGTGGCAAAAATCTTTATTTTTGGTAGCTGATGAGCCAAAAGTCTTTCATTTTTAACTTATTTCTGCCGCCATTTCTCTACTAGCTCATCGTCTTCAACACTTTTGATCCATGCTTGTAAATATCCATGACATACAGTACACACAATATTTTCTGATCTAATGTTAACATATTGCTAAAGTTCTGTGTTTTTAATGGACCTTAGTCAGACATTAGATTTTTGTTTTTAAAATGATAGAGCTATTTTAATGATGCTAGTGAAATGCTTGTGATTTTTATATACAGTATGCATGTGTGTATGTGTATATACTATACAGATACATGTGTGCATGAACAAATACATAATGACCTGTGTCTAAAAACATTCATCTTCATAGGTGAGGGGTCTGCGTATAATATATTAAATCAATTACCTTCTCCCCAAAACATTCTTTAAGTAGGACCTAGCTTATCATGTATTTTCTATTTAAGGACTATATATGAAATGTAAGTTTCTTCTATTTTTTTGGTTGGATATATTTTTCCACTTACATTATTTTTTGGTGCATACCATCTCTCCTGCCCTAAGATGACTTTAACAGGTAATAATATATTTTTCTAACTTTTCATTTACCTAAGTTCCTGCTATTGTCTTTGCTGCAGGTTTTTTGTATGTGCCAGAACGCTATTTCCTTCCCTTTGTGCTGTTGGCAAAGCTGTGTCAAAGGTATGCTGCCTAGTTATTGTATTAGGCTTGATCTTAGCTAAGATACCCTCCTTCAGCACTGTTGGACAACAGCTTGCCCAGGCTTGTTTTAAAACTGTAGAAATTGAAAATGATCTTGAAGAATCCCAGTTTGTGTTTGTGTGTGCAGATCCTAGTTTCAGTGGAGATAAGTAGACAAGCTACCTATATTAAATATATGTATGACAGTGAGATAGACTCATGACCATATGCAGTTTCAGTGTTATGGCTTAATATTTCAATTCAGTTCCAATAAGCTGTAGAAATTATTCCATTCTTAGATCATCAATGCTGCCTACACAATGAAAGACTACTAGCTTTATTTTGCATAAATGCTGCTTGTCATTTGACCTTTTTAAATATTGGATACTGTAAAGTAGGAAAACACTAGTATTCCATAGTTGGCAATCTCTTTTGGAGAAAAGACCTGCCACAAATATGCACGGACCTACCCACATTCCAGACAGGGTACTAGCTGGCTTTTAAGAATATCTATTTTTTGTTTGTTTGTGCTTCTAGCTTTCCTTAATAAAATGGGATTGCCAGGTGTATAGTAACCCTAGCAAGCCAGCACCCTTATGGCATTTGTTTAGAGAAAATATCAGATAGGAGACCAAATGATATAAAAAATTCCAGGAGAGAAGATGGTTTTTATTGACTCCTATCAACAATCAATTTAAACTTTCTTCTACTTGATTGTTTTCTAAATCAGGAAGGGTTTAGTGTTATGTAGTGAGTGTGGCTTTTCTTGTAACTGGAATGAACACTAGTGAGTTATCACTGAAATTGTACAAAATCGTTTTCTAGAATTTGAAAAGCTTCTTAGAGAAGATGTGCTCGGTTTGTCCGATGGAGATGTGCGGCCGACAGGGGGCCACAGAGGAAATTTTTAAAAATGGGAGGAGCTGGTGCTGATGAGCAACAGACTCAGATATGCTGGGAAACATTAAAAAGTTGCAGCTTGTGTGATTAACGCTTGCTTACAAGGGCTAGTCACATTAGAAATGGCTGACTTGGGTCTCCCTCCAGGGAACTATTCCTGAACAAGTCCAACTTTCCTTTAAACAGATGTATGCCAACATAATCCTACAGTGTGGATGCAGCTTACAGCTATGGAAGGGTTTTTTCTGGGTCTGTAGGAAAAGCATGGCCCTAAGCACTAGCACCTAAGCTGGTAAAAGAATTCTCCTGTTGATCTAACTGCATCTACACTGGAGTTAGATCAGCATAGCTGTTGCACCGGGGGTGGACTTTTCACACCTGAGTGCTGTATCTGTGTTGACTCAGCTGTCTCTCTACACAGGCACCCCAGAGAGGAAAATACATGCATGCTTATGTTTAGAAAAAGAAAAGAGATGTCAAGCTTTGTTTGTAGAGGGGCATTAGTTTTTTTCAGTTTCATAACTTTCCTGATTCAAAAAGGAATATAGTTTTGCCATCGTACATATAATTGGAGATCAGATAAAACACAGTTTAGTGAAAATCCTACACAGGCATGTTTTGTTAATACAGAAATTGTGGGAAAGCTTTTTTTTTTTTTTTTACAACTTGGCACTGGTTACGAATTTATTTTTTGTGGTTAATTTATTTTTCCAGGACCTAAGCAGTATTTTTGCACAATTACAATAGTATACATAAATTGCTGCTGATGTACCAGTCTGTTATCTGTTATTAATGCACTCTATAACGTAGTAGTTCTGTCTAAATGCAAACCTTGGTGATTTTGTATAGCAGCATGTCATCTGTAATGTAATTATTTGTTGTAAGCCGTGATATACCAGTTTTCAAATCATGTAAAACATAGAGCAAAGCTGTCAGGGTGTTATTTTTCCTCCCCCCAGGTCAAGAATCTGTATTATGAAAACTAATAATGAAATGGCCTGAGCAGGAACAGATTGTTTTGTGTGAAGCGGTACAGTAATAAAATAAAAATTAAGTAATTTTGAGGAGCATTCTTTTCTGGTGAATGGCTTGTGCTATGCACTTAAACTCCCTGGTTTGATCAGAGGTACTTTTTACAGCTTTGGGATAGCAGTGACCACTAGCGGTTTTAGCTGTATTTAACAGTAAAGCCCCTTTTCTTCAAAGAGTGCGCTGCAGCAAGTGGTTCCAGATTCTGCATATTTAGTGTGTAACTCTTTGGAATGCTGTGCATTGAATTTCACCTTGCGCATAACAAGTATACTAAATACAAATAGTCTGTACAACTGAAGTTCTTGTAGGGCTTACTATATGACTTGTGAAAATAAGTGATGTCTTGTAGAATTTTCTGATGCATGTTATAACATTAAAATTATTGCAGAAATAATCAGCACTATGGAAGCAAAACGGAGTACTGAACAACTGGAATTATTAGGGCCTAAGTCACCAGGTGATCAGTAGCAACTTATGTAGAGTTACTGTAATTATCTAAAATCATAAGATCTCTGCAATATACAATGCATTGTTCTCAGGGAAGAGGAATGTATGGTACTCCAAGCAAGTCACTTACAAAAAGGGCAGTAACTAGTTCAATATTTTAATAGGATTTAATAGTTCGTACAGGTTACTCACTTCCATACATTCATGGAATACAAAAATTTCCTCTGTCTACAGGTACTAATACTCAGGATTTAAATATATCTACAAACACTGTACATTGGTCATTAGGAATCATTTGAACTTCAACACTCAAAGGGAACACAATGTTTGAATAAATATGTCAAATATAACCTTCTGGAAAGCTATTTTTTTAAACCCTTTTTCTGGATTAAGCTAGGGTTCAAAGGTAACATCAGAAGCTCCTTTAAGGTTCAAAAATACCCCAAAACTCTGGTCCACAGTTTGGTTATTTTTATTGCTTTGCCTACCAGTAAGTCTTTCAGGAGTGGGCCATAATGATGGATTGTACTTAACTTTCAGCAAGCTTTTCTCAAACTGGTTCTTAAAAAAAAAAAATCTACTTTAAGGAACCTTCACCAAAAAATTTAATATCTGCAAAAATCAGAAGGGCAGGTCCTCAGCTGCTATAAACTGACATAGCTGAAGATCTGGCCCGATTTGGAACAGTTAATTGCTTGGTCAAGTTGATTAACAAGTATATTGCTCCTAAAATGCTCACAAAAGCACAAAATTGTACTGATCTAAAATGGTTTGTGCCTTTTCTAGCCCACTGGTTTGCCTCTTTGAGTTGTAAAAAAGGCAAGTGGGATTAAGATGTTTAATTGTTGAAAGCTTCATCTTAAAATGCTGTTAACCATAGGGCTAATTCTGCTCCACTTAAAATCCGTGGGAACAGGCTCAGGCCTTCTTCACAGACCTAATCAGCCTCTGCTCAGTTAAACACACCAAACACATGTCATTTCCTCACAAAATAAAGAAAAAACTGAACATTAACATATACATTTTCTCTCACTAAGAATAAACTAACTTGGAAAGTGAAACCCCTTGCAATGGAAAGAAACTGGTTGTACTGAGCCATCCCACTTGTGTTCCCTTTACTACCTGTAAGATAGTCTCATTGTAAAACAAAGGATTAGGACGAAAACTAACACCCTGAATTTGACCAGATTTTTGTAGATGGTGGGTTCCACAGAAAGGTCTGATCCTGCAATCTCTTAGCAGGTTAACCCTCAACACCCTTGAGGAGTGCTACTGACAATCAGATTATTGGGAGCATAGCTTGCAGAATTCAACCCATAAAGCCTGATTTCAGTGGGCTTTTGGAGCAAAGGGAAGACTCCTACTGCCTTAATGGATTTTGGAGCAAGCACTACCTTCCTTGACACTTAAAAAAGGCACATTGTCAATATCTTCCTGTTAAATTTCTCAGCTCAGATACTAAATACCATTCTAACCAGGAAAACAAAAGCTTTAAAAATATAAATGTCAGCACTGATGTCATTTATTTTTGGCATTTGCCTCAGCTTGGGCACTTCCAGGCACTAGCCCAAAGCTGCAGTGGTTGCATTTCCAACAATGACTCTTCAAAAAGTTTTTACAGAACTTGTAAAGAAAAACATTTATGTGGTTATTTCAATAAGCCTTTTCTAAAGTAAAATTTGGGGCCTGAAACGACTTGAATGGCCTTAATGTATCCCACTTATCACCTGTACCCCAAGGCCCCTATTCCACAAATGAATCCATCAGGAGAGACCCCTGTGCTCACATTAGTCAATAGGGATCTGCACCACTAGAGCCAGTTGCAAGATCAGAGTTTAAGAGTGCAAATTTAGTGAGTTATTTTAATCACTAGATTAGTGATCCTGCTAATTCACAATTGACACTTCTTATTGGAGCGAGTTCCGTAACAGTGTATGAGCTATTTTAGAACAGCGCAATCTGCTTCCAACACCCAAACCCGCAGGCTACAAGTTCCATATTTTTGCTATGGAAAAACAGGAACTATTGGAATGTAACTCCATACATTTCCCAAGCTTGCTCCCATTAGTTTTTCCAAACACTAAAATAATTCTGCTTGAAGCTTTGGCAAAGCCAAGAGTAAAACACTTTCTGAAATGAAATTTAACAGAATTTTATTTTCTACATATGAACTTTTACTAGGAAAGTATATTTAATTCCATTGACTGTTAGGCGAGAAACACCACAATATTTCTGTTTTGTTCACACATGTTGTGGAATCGAATTGGAAACAAAACAAAAAAACCCACACCCTCCTTTCTAAGGGAGCTGCACTCAAGCCATCCAAACAAAAGGAAGAAGGGCTTACCACACCTTTGCAGGAAGGGTAGCGAAGAGAAGACTGCGTGGACCAATTTCCAGAGATTAAAACAATGGCAGGTCTTCATATGCTCTGCTTGAGGTTAACTGCTCTCTGAAGTGATTGTACTATTTCACACTTTCATAACAAAGGGTACAGAAAAATCAAGAAACGAATGAAGTAGAATAATAGCTATCAGCTGGGAAAAGGAGCTACAGCTAGACTATGCAAATTGAAGATTACTGATTGGTGTTTTAAGGGTGAGGAGGAGATAAATGCCGTGAATGTCATCCACGACTAGTCCCTCTTCCTTTTGGGTCTATGCTTTCTCCTAATTACATCACTAGGTTACTGGCAAAGTCAGAAGTTAGGCTGGGTTGGTGAACAATACCAAATTATTCCATATTCACCAGAGCATGGAGCTGCGGCTGAAGAGCATCTGTCTGTGTATGTAGTACTGTAAGCTCACTTAAGGTGGTAGCTATGAGGGCTTCTTGGGGTCCCACAGTCCCATCCGATTTGCAGTCTGTCACTATGGTAGAACTGTTGTCATGCAGTGCAGTCACACTCCCTGGGACAGCAGTCAAGTTTTGATAGTGGCCATTTTCAGAAAAAGACAGCAACTTCTCTGTTATTTTAGGTGACATGTGATACTCTTCATCAGGAAGCTCTGTCTTGTGACCTTCATCGTTCTTAGACACTCCTTCAACAATAACCAGGAAAGACTTCCAGGGTGTATTCTTATCATGTATCTAAAACCAAACACAACACCGTTTCAGCACTTGCTGTTTAGAATGACAACACTTTGCCTTTCTACAGAATCTGCCAGCCAAGGATCTAAAAATCTGTTTACAAATAATGGGGTAGATTCTGTGCCCTGCTCCTCAGCTTTTATACTGCTCAGACAGTGTCAAAAGGAGGGGGACTTGCTACATCTTCCTACATGGGGATTCTCAAGCAGGCACACAGTCACCAAAATGGACTCCTATGGCAGCCCTCTGGAGACAGGGAGAAGAGGCCTGAGCTATTATAAGTTGACGCAGAAAACAGCAGCCCCAGTGCTGCTCCAGTCAGGTCCCTGATGGGCCCCCTTGCTCCATTTCATCAAGTGTTAACTTGGCAAAGCAGTGTCTCTCTCCAAATAAGTGAAGTCTCACACAGCCCCCCTGTATTATCACTTCCATTTCGCAGGGAAATGGCAGACCCAAGGTCATATGCTGGGTCAGTGAAAGAGTGAGAAAAATAACTCTCCTTCCTGCTATGTGTGTTTGCTATGCTGCCAGTAGTGAGATTAGTTTGGCTGTAACCCAGGAAAGCTGTCGGCCTCAATGGGACAATGCATTTACTTAGGTGTTCTAAAGCCAACAGGCCCTTTTCTAGAACGGACCCATTTTACACAGGCGTGTCTGAAATGCGGGATCAGGCCGACGGGAGCTAGCAGTGGAGTCTGTAGCAAGACTCGGTCCTTACTGAAGTGTGCCGCCGCAAGGTCGATTTATCCGTGAACGTTCGCCCACATGCATTGCACATGAACGGTTTCTCCCCCGTGTGTATTCGATGATGGCGCTGCAATGCGTTGAGCTGCGTGAACTGCTTACCACACTGATCACAACAATAGGGCCGTTCACCTGAAATCAGAGCACAGGGTTAGACTGACCTCTTAGCCGTACCCAGAGTGCTGCTCCTTTGGTAATCTTATACGTGCCCTCATATCACATATATTTGACTAGGCACGTACAGGCATGTTCAGAAAGCCTGCAAATACATTTGCGGGAATTTCAGATTTGCAGAAAATTATACTGACACATCCAAGGTAAACAGACCATTGCTATAGTTTAAAGGCAGATCCTCTGCTAGTGTAAATCGGTTTAGCGCTATTGAAGTCAACAGAGCACTTGCATCAACTGAGCTTCTGGCCTGAAATACATGAGTTTTCATATTTACCTATATCAGTATTTTACTAGGGCAGGAATTCTGGGGTTTATCACACCATCTACCAAAGCAGATCACAATACCATTCAGCAGGTAAAATGCACTTTAGTCTGAAGCATCTTTCACCCATGATTTATTATTTACCCTAGTAAAGCATTTTGTGATACAGCCACAGGGTTAAATAATAGCACAGGGAAAGAAAGTAGGGGTTTCAGATTATTTGAAAATAGATGGAAATGTGATGAGGCAGAGCGATACAAGGTTGGTATTGCAGATGGCAGGCAATATAGGGGAGAAGGCTTTAGCATC